GCTAAAGCAACTTCCTCCACGTCAGGTGGCGGCAATATGAATCCATGATCGCTAAAGGAATTACAGAAATTACTAAGGTCGTAATTTTCTAAAAATTGAAAGGATACTTACCTACAAAAAACTCGTCCACAATTAAAACGTCAAAACTAATAATGGCTAACTATAGCAATTGTTATAGTCACCACAGCCGACGCGCTCACGGCTATACCTATAACGATCGCGTTAATATTTCTTCCGTTTTGAAAACCATTATTTAGGCGTTATTCTCACGTTTGAAGAAAAAATAGCATATATTATGCGGAGCTAAAGTAACTTTTTATGGCTCGTCAGTATTTTGCTGGCCTCGCTTCGCTCGGCCATCAAACGCTGACTCGCCATAAAAAGTATCACTTTAGCTCCTCATAATATAATATACTATTATTTACCATGTCCTTTATTGGATAAAGTTCAACAAGAGCTACCCCGAGATATTTGAATACAAGAGAAGAAAATTTAAAAAAATACACACAGCAAGCCGGATTAACCCAACAGGACAAGTATGAATTGGAAGAGTTGATCAAAGAATAACTCATAAAAGAGCAACAACGGAACGGGGAACGAGAAAGAAACGCTCATAGAAATGTATTCGTAAAACAAGAGAAAATATAAGGCGAGAGCGGCGCGAATACACGAACCGCCCACAGAATGCAAGACATTACAGTGGACAAATTTAATAGGGGTGATCAGGGAGACGAATACATGCTAGATCACTAATTCAGCACCAAGAAGAAGAGAAAATTAATCACGTGACGTTTACGTCACAGTATTTTCGACAAATTTTGAACGTCCATAATGAGACGGAAGAGACATAATAGCATAACATGTGAAGAAGAAAGAAAATTAAATAGTCCTAGTACTCAATTAAAACAAGTCGGTGAGAACATTTTTTGTGAAGAACAAGAAGTAGGTAACGAGTTTGATTAAAAAGAAGAACAGCAGAAGGAAGTTCTTAAATTCCATCCAATTGTTGTAGTAAGGGTGTGTGGGTGGGTGTGAGCTGTCCAAGATAAAGTTAATATCCCTGCATTTCTAAAGGCATCACAGCAGGTTGCGATAATAATTTTAAGTTCATTATCTGTATTTTAGGAATTGGTCACAGGTAAGGCGGTAAGTTCACTTGAAATCTTAGTGAGAAGGAAGTTATGAAGTTCATTCTTGTCCTACTGAAATAGCAGCAGTTTTGAGTCCAGAAGCGCGGCTCTCGAACTTGCGTCAGGTTGCGGAAGATTTATATTTTACCTAAAAAGAGGTTGTCAGTCCTCCAATCATTTTCCGAGAGGTAAATTTGATACTTCAGCACACGACCAGTTTTAGAAGGCATTTCCAGGTTCTTTAGAGACGTCTGAAGGTTGTTTATTGGTTCTGTTTTTATATGAATTTAATACATATTGACAATGGAATAAGGTTCATTATAGATCATAGACATGCATGTTATTAAAGAGTCTGGAGTTTGCAAGTCTTCAATAAGTGCCTACAAATGTAACCGTTATTCACATTAAATAATCCAATATTTTATTATACTTTTCTTATAGCTGTTTGGCTGAGTAATTAGTCCGCAAGGTAACTTTTTAAATTATTATTTTAGTTATTTCCATGTTAACTGAGGGCTGGAGTAGAGCCACACCATTTTGATGTTTCCTATGTACATGCCATTTATTATTTTACGAGTTGTGTTATTTCAATTGATTGTACAGGTATTTTAATGTGTTTTTGTACTGAATTGATTTATCGGGTTTTCCACTGCATTTATGATGTCTTGTGTATTTTGTTTTTATGAACTTGTTTAATTGCATTTGATTTGATTATCTGATTTTTATCATACAATTTGAGATGTTTTATTTATGTGTATATTCTCTTGCATTTTATTGCTGCAGGTGATTTATTTCATGTATTTGTGTGTCCTATGCCGGGGTTTTTGTCCCGTAGAAGGTTTCCCTGGTATAGCCTTGTTGGGTGCGTAATTGTTGTGAATTGGACATATATCAGAGTTGTAAAAAAAAAACAAAAGAGTGGAAATACGCATTTTTTACTAGTTATGTCAATTTAATTGTATCGTGACAAGAAATAAAAAACCCATAAGAAAACGGGTAGTTTTCATCAAGCTTTGTTAACATTTTATGGCGACCGTGACAGGATACCGGGTTTGAGTGTTTTGGTTACGATATTTGTGTTAAATTGACATTTTAGTGGTGCGTTCGATTTCCGCGAAAAATGGAGCAACAAAGGCGATACCGCGACGTATGTCGTGATAGCTTTATGCGGGCCACCGACAAGCTACGGGTTTTATTAACTAAAACTCCTATAGATAGTGTTGCGTTGAAGGTGGCGGTTGAAATGCTGCGGCTTAAGCATTCAACTTTACAAAAAGCCGACGATGAAATAACAACGCTGTTGATGGGTGAGGCGGCCGACAGAGACGTCCTGGGAGCCGAACAAGCTACTTGCGCAGAATTCATGGAACAGTTCCTTGAGTTACAGCAGCAGGTGAGCGACCTAACCTCCAAGCCATCGACAGCAGCCGTTCCTTCCAGTGGCATCGGTAACAATGGGGTAAATCTTTACAACATACAAGGTAGGAGATTTATTACCGAAAGATTTTAAAAAATTTGATGGGAACGTGCGTGAATGGCTCGCGTTTTGGGCACAATTTGTGAAAATTCATCATCATACAGAACTCGATGAAATCGATAAAATTAGTTACTTAATACAAGCCACAGTTGCTGGCAGCCGTGCACGGCAGGTCGTAGAAAGCTACCCTGTGATGGCCGGTAACTATTCAAAAATTATAGACTCGTTAAAATCGCGGTACGGTCGAGAGGACTTGTTAATCGAAGTTTATGTACGCGAATTGTTGAAGTTGATTATTCAGAACGCGACTTCGACGCGAGAAATTGACTTAGTATCTCTCTACGATAAATTGGAAACTCAGTTGAGAGCGCTGGAGACGCTAGGCGTAACCACCGAGAAGTGCGCAGCAATGTTATTCCCACTTATTGAGTCGTGCTTGCCAGAGGAACTTCTTAGAGTGTGGCAAAAGGGCCGCGAACGCGTCTATAGCAAATTTATCAGATGCAATTCAGCGTGAAGAGATAAAACCTGCTAGGCGTTTAGCCAATTTAATGGCCTTCCTAAAAAGAGAAGTAGAGGGCGAGGAGCGCATTGCACTCGCTGCTGAGGGTTTTGGTATCTCTTCGGGAGGGAAAGCTAGCGTACGTAAACAATCCGGGAATGACTCGTACTGTAGATTAAGTCCTACGTTTAAGAAAAAGGTGATATCGCAAAACGCTGAACCGATAGCGACAGCCGCGGGGTTAGTAGTCCAAGATGGTTTGAGCTGTGTTTTTTGCGATAAAAATCACGAAAGTACAATGTGTGTTAAAGCTCAAAATTTTTCGCTAGAACAGCGCAAAGATATAGTAAAAAAGAAAGGGGCATGTTTTCGATGCCTGCGGGGTGGTCATAGCGTCAAGAGATGCCGCGCCACCGTAAAATGCATTATTTGTAAAAAGGAGCACGTACCCTTAATGTGTTCTACATTAACGGATCCGCAAGTAGGATCGAAACCAGAAGCAAATAATGCGCATGACAAATCGAAAGCGGCTAATCTATCTGAGAAAGCCAAATCTGAGGATCTCGCGAATTTCACGTCAAGCCACGTTTTTCTGCAAACTTTTAGAGTCAATATTCGACATAACGGTGGCGAACGTGACCTGCGAGTACTAATCGACTATATACTAAAAAGCACCAGCGACGCGTTAGGTCTCGAAGTAAAAAGACGCGCGGCGATAGCGCATGGGTTGTTTGGTGGAACAACAGTAGAACATAATCATTCTTGTTACGACGTTACGTTGGTAAAGGGAGATTACTCCCGTACAGTAGAGGTATTGGATCAACCGACTATTTGTCATCCTATTCCGCCGGTATTTTATGGACCGTGGATTAAGGAGTTGAAACATATTGGGATTTCCTTGTCTGATGTAAAAGATTCCTCGCCGATAGAAATACTTCTAGGCGCAGACGTGGCAGGTCATATTTACACAGGAAAGAGGGAAGTTTTAGAATGTGGAATGGTAGCGGTTGAAACTGTATTCGGATGGACGCTCATGGGAAAAATAGACAGCCAGCGATTTAAATCAAACATGGAAATATCTTGTCTAGTTTCTGACTAAACAGTGACTTCGCTGTGGGAACTCGACGTACTTGGGATACGAGATCCTGTCGAGAAAAAACGAAGCGAGAAAGAGTTTCGGGAAGTAAAGAAGTGCTTTGAGAAAACTCTACAGGTTGACGGAGAAGGGCGTTATGAAGTGCGACTTCAGTGGGCAGCGGATCACTCTCCTTTATCCAGCAATTACGAGATTGCAAAAAGGCGATTGAGTTTGACATTAAGAAACTTGGAAAACACCCAACTACACCAAGCCTACGATCAGGTTTTTTGTGAATGGCAATCGGAAGGAGTAATCGAGACAGTTGTTGGGGAGGTGGATCATCACGAGGGCATTATCTGCCACACAGGCCCGTCGTGAAGGAAAATTCGACAACAAAAATTCGTCCGGTGTTCGATGCATCAGCGTATTCGAAAATTTCACCGTCGTTAAATAGTTGCTTAAGCAAGGGTGTCCATTTGATAGAATTGATCCCATCGATAATTTTGCGATTTCGTGAACTCAAAATCGGAGTGATTTCTGATATCCGAAAGGCGTTCTTACAAATTGGAGTTCATGAACCGGACAGAGAATTTCTAAAATTTTTATGGGTTGATAAACAGGGCAATGAAAAGGTTGATCGACATAGAAGAGTAGTTTTCGGTGTGAGCAGCAGCCCGTTTTTGTTAGCAGCTACAATCGAACATCACCTAGAAAAATGTCTCGAAAAATGCGACACACCGAATCCCTCTTATTCAAAAGACACGATCACGCGGTTAAATCAGAGTTTCTAATTGCGTGACCAGCGTAAAGGACATGGCGACTCTCGATAAGTTCATAAAAGAGGCCACCGAAGTAATGGCGGAAGCGAAGTTTGATCTTCGAGGGTGGGAGCACACGAGTTTGAACGAACCTAATACTCCCAGCGTTTCCGTGTTGGGTTTGAAATGGCATCGAGAGAAAGACGTATTGACAGTTAACGGTTTTTCGATCAAAGAATTGATCCAATCGGAAAAGTTCCGTGTGACGAAACGACTCATGTTATCCATCGCTCAGAAACTCTACGATCCTATAGGGTTTACCAGTCCCGTGACTCTAAGACCAAAAATCCTGTTACAACAATTATGGGAAAAACAACTGCAATGGGATGAGGAAGTCGACGAGGTGACGAGAAAAGCGTTTATGGAATGGGCGGAAGAATTACAATACTTGGAAAGAATTGAAATACCACGGTGGATTGGGTTCGAGTCGAATACATCGCAACCATGGAGTCTGCATGTATTTACAGACGCGAGTAAAAAGGCCTATGCCGCAGTGATATTTCTGCGCATAGAGCAAGGAGGAGAGGTAAAAATACATCTCCTAGCCACAAAATCGAGAGTCCCGCCTATCAAACCAACTACCATTCCTAGACTGGAACTCTTGGGCGCCACGATCGGTGTTCGTTTGTGTGACACAGTTAAAAAAGACCTAAAAGGCGACGGAAAGTGTTTTTATTGGACCGACTCCACTACCGTTCTTTCGTGGATACGACGAAAAGAAGAATGGACGGTTTTTGTGAGAAATAGGGTCAATGAAATTCGTCAGAATTCGGCGATCGATTCATGGAGGCATGTGCCAGGGCACTTAAATCCGGCTGATCTGCCTTCCCGAGGATGCACACCGCAACAATTGTGCGAAAAACGTTGGTGGGAGGGGCCATCATGGCTGGGGGCTGAGCCGGCGGAATGGCCTTCGGAACCAGTCGCATATGACGAGAATGAAATCACTGCAGAGAGGACGAAATCAACAGTATCGAGCTTGCTGGTTACTGAGAACTTAGCTAGTTCAGATTTTACGTTATTTGAGGATTTCGAGAGAATAGTACGTCAAGTTGGGTGGATGCTGCGTTTCAAAAATAATGTTAGAAAAAAATTGAAGGAAAAGGCGGCAGATCGACAAGTCGCTAAAATCAAAGAACCATTACCATTGACGGTAAGGATGGAAGCTCTTTCGGTGGAGGAACTACAAACGGCCGAAAACCTCATTTTGAAAATAAGCCAGAAGGAATCGTTTGGAGATCGAAATGACGCTTTAATGCCCGGTTTCTCCAACAAAATATAAGCTGTACCTTAGGCAAGGCGGTCTTAATTGTAAGGTGTCCTTAAAATTAAATTACGTTGCACCAAAATTTTAAGTTCGCATCTTAGCTAAGCATCAGAATTTGTCTGAAACGATCTGGCAACACAGAATTTTATCAAATGAATGCCAATTTTACTAATGAATCGCGTTACCGAAGGTAGGTACCTAATAATTGCAAACTGTCAAACTTGATAGTTACTCCACAGAATAAGGCCTTATTCTATAAGTTACTCGTCATTGCCCCACCGAACCGTGCACCGAACTTGTTAGACATCGGCCAACATGCATTCTAATAAAAAAAGAGTGAATTACACTCAAGAAGAAAAAAAACTATTAATTCATTTGGTTGATTCAAATAAAAATATCATCGAAAATAAAGATACAAACGCCGTTTCAAACCATCAAAAAGATGACGTTTGGAAAATTATTGAGCAAAATTTTAATAAAAAGTGTTTCAACGTCTTTCGTGACGCCAATTCTTTACGGAAGCAGTGGAGCAATATGAAGCAGGACTCAAGAAAAAAGGCGGCACTAGAAAGGCAGGAGCTTTACAAAACTGGTGGAGGAGTTGCTCCTGCACTTTCTTCGAAAAATTGTGAAGCAAATGAACAATTGGTTTTGGATATAATAAATAAGAAGACAGTCCTTGGTCTAAGAAATGAATTTGAGTCTGATGTAATGAAAGGTAAAATTTACACTCGAATTTCCATTAATTATATTTTTAGTGAGGCACACATAGATACAAGTATTTTTATATTTTGTAGAACCTATATTAGATCATCCAGCAGAGGATATTCTTGGAATGCCGATTTTGATATCTTCCAAGCCCAATCAAGAAGAAATTAACATAGAAATACCGTGTACATCCAGTACACC